AACAAACAAGTGCTGGATTTTTGCAGAAGCAGATCAACAATGTACTTAATACACAGTTAAGTGGCTGAAACTATAAACAAGCTAATACATTTTTTCCCCAATCAATTAATTAATAAAATGTTCCAATAATTAATATATTAATAATAAGAAGAATGCATAATTTAATATATGTTATTATTAATATCATATAGTAATTCATTATATATGCCAAAAGTGGGCAGGTTTTAGGCGTTATGAAAGTATGTTTTACTATGTTGTTAAGTGACATACATCAAGATCAAATGTAGGAATTTAACCAATAAACATCAACGCAATTGAAAAACATGTTCGTAAAAGTATGTTATAAACGTATGTTTTACTATGTTGTTAAGTGACATACATCAAGATCAAACGTAGGCATTTAACCAATAAACATCAACGCAATTGAAAAACATGTTCATACGTGCTGTCTTTCTCAGGGATCTCTTTGATTGCGATGCGCACATGATTGCTTAGGTCCCGTCCAGCGTACACCACTCCATAGGTTCCTTTCCCCAGCACCACCTTGTCTTTATTCTCATTTATCTCATAGATGTACTGAAAGAGAAATAGTACCACAATGGAGTCATATAGACCAACTGCACCCAATGGGTGAAGACCAGTGATGCATACATACAAATATAGATTTATCACTAATATGGATTACTCATTAAAAGTTACTATAATTATTTTTTAAGGAAATGAACATTTTTATTTAGCAAGGAAGCAGTTAACTGATCAAAAGTGACAGTAAAGACATTTATAAATGTAAAAAATGCTGTTCTTTTGAAGTTTATATTAATAAAAAAAGCCTTAGAAATGTATCAGTTTTCACAAAAATGTATAATATTGATTTCATAAATAAAATATCAACATTGATAATAATAAGAAATGTTTATTGAGCTCTAAATCAGATATTAAAATGATATCTGAAGGATCATGAAATACTGAGGACTGACGTAATAGGTGCTGAAAATTCAATTGTTAAAATATATTAAAATAGAAAACATTTTAAATTATAATAATATTTCACAATGTTACTGTTTTACTGTAATTTTGATCAAACAAAAAGCAGTCTTGTTGAGCATAAGAGACTACTTTCAAAAAATGTTATGAGCTTTTGAAGCATTTTGAGATGAGCTGTTCTGTGAAGCATTTGACATTTAAAAGAACGCTATTCCCAATGCATGGAAAGAAGCAGCATTACATTTTTTCACACCTAACTGCTAAATTCAACAAGCACTAAACAGGCAGTAAGGAAGTATGCTTAAATGTGGAGTCTACTCAATACTAAAGATAGCTGAAGAGGAAGCCAACAGGCTGACACAACACCATTGCACTATGGTACTGCCCGTAGTGGTACCATATTCCCAGTATGCAACGGGAAGCTGCATTTGGAATGATACACAATGAAGAGAACCATTTGGCCACAAATCTCAACTCAACTCTTTCATGATGATTAAACTGTTCATAAAAAACAAAAACATTAAAGCCAAGTGAAGACATCTGTTCAAGGAATTAAAACTACAGATGCTGACAGGCAGAGTCCAAGCCAACAGAAGTGTATAACCTAAACCAACCTTAAAAAAAAAAACATCTCAGGTTATTCTACACAAAAAAATATAAACCTATTTTATCTTAAAACATTAGTCTGCATCAGTGAAAGTCATTTTTAAGACTTTTGCATCAAGGATAAGGTAGAAATAGCTGCTTAATGAACCAAGTGCACATTTTCACTCATGCTGAACACGATTACTGGGCCTGAACAAACAATGAGAGGTTATAGAGAATTCATGGGGATTTATCTCACCTCTAAAACTCCTTCCCCTTCCCTGATCTGACTGGAATCTTCCACGGGACTTTCTGTTTGATGCAATAGAGAGCTCACCAAATCACAGAACCTGAAAAGCAACACACAAATTATAGGGTTTGAGTATTTGTTCAATGGTAAAAAAAAATCTTTAATTGTGACTCATTTCCTTGTGATGTTCAAACATGCACATTCACTTGATCATTTAGTCATTTCGTAATGTTTTCACTGGAATAATCAGAATAACTTAAGATAAGGTCAAATGTGACTTCCTGAACATGGTACAACAGAGGGGTAAGTAAATATGGCATGCATTTTAAAGGCTCAGTGAATAGAGCCTGGAGCAAGTATGAATTTAACAGTACATATTAAATTATTTTACATAACCTATTATTTTAGGAGTTCATTCTCTGCCAAAAACACTTATGACATTAGAGCTCTTTCCTCATGATGGCCTAGTTGGAAGCATGTTTGAGCAACACGTCAGCTGGTGGATCTCACCCTTTACAATGAAGATCGCTGGGAAAGTACAACTGGAAGTCATCTGAATTGTACAGGACATACAGGAAGCAGCTCCGTTCGTCGAACTTGGAGATGCTGGACGAGTGGAAAAACGAGAGATTTTCAATCCAATCCAACATGCCAGAAAAATAAAACAAAGATACTGGGACAAGCTCTTTTACACTATTTGAAATTGATCCAAACAGAGCAGTTCAGTTTGTACTCCAAAAACTGCATGCGCTCCCTTGGGAGTTTATAATACTTAGAATGTTTTTAAAATTAAAGTATGTTGTGCAAAGTTATTTTGTTCTATTACATGAATGAGACATTTAATGCTTAAAAAGTTAAAATTACAACGACATGAATCTGACAACTACTATAGTCTTGTAGCAAAAACAGCTTCAAAATTCAAAGTTTTAGGTTAAAGTGTGTAATGTGTTATAAAATGAAACATTAAAAAGTCTCCACAGGCAATAAAACAGCTCTTTGCAACTCATAAACAATTTAATGACAAATAGAACACATTCCTGTTAGAATCTGTTTGGAAATACTAAACAGGAATAGAGATCCCATTAGGAGACTGTATCCATAACTAAAATGATTTTTTAAATATGGGTCAATCTGACCTTAATTATCAACATCCATTATCATTTGTTTTGCAACCTGAGCTCTAAACAAGATGTCCACTGTCCTAAGGGCTGGAAATAGGAACAAAACCAGTAAGAAAAAGAACTGAAAGAGACATTGACCTGTAGCTTAAAAAGCTGGAAAGAGGATAACAGGCATCAAGTAGGCCATGCAACATGGAAGTTTAAAAAAAGACCTATTCAGAGAAAAATCGATGGCCTGTGGCCAAAACAGAACAGCCCTAGTGGGACCATAAGCTGCTACAAGCTTGGAAAAGGAAAACAGAAAAAAAAGTGGAAAGTACAGTATTCCCATAAGCGCGCACAGTACCTTACTCCACGAATAGCAGATGCTGGGAAAGTCCACTCATGAAGACCTTTCTGGGAAAGTCAAACCAAGCACATTACACTCCCACATACATGTATACAAAGGTTGAATTTAACTGCATAAAGCAGCTCAAATTCACACCATCTTCTGTCATGTTAAATGATGCCTATCTTTCACATAAATTATTCAATAAGATGGAAACTCAACTACGTGACAACACAATACAATGTAACTGCACCCTGCACAATTAGGCTACTCCTCAATGCCACGTGTGAAAAGCGCCAAGAGTTTACCTCGAGTGGAGTGACGTGTCTCAGCTGCACCGTACGGCTGTCATCTTCCTCACTTACGCTTATTATACTGGGTTGGAAGACTTTAGTGGGTTCCAGAATCAGAACCTAAAAAAAGACAAGATATTTTGGGTCTGCTTATATTCTCCACCTTTTTGGCCTTTCCTTTAAAGGAGCATTTTACCCATTTCAACATCTTTATTGAAATTGGATCATATATGTAGTTGAAATGTAAAAGAGTTTTTGATTATATTGTGGCTCGTAAAGATAGCCACAAACATCGGATTCGAGCAGCAGAATTTTAAAATCCTCTTCTTCCATATCTATAGCTAAGTTTGTAGTCTCTAGACATTTTAATGAAATGTGACTTCTTGCTTATTATGATGCAAAATGACGATCTTTACGTCATAATAAGCAGGAAGTAAAACACTTAAATCCTTATTTCTCCCATCTCAGGGGAAAATAAGGGAATAAACCATGACCATTCAAAAATATGACTGGGTTTCTAAAGATACAATGCTTAATCCAAATGGGTGAAGTGTCCCTTTAAGTAAAGCAGGCTGATTTTTGGCAGTAGGGGATAAAGGTCCCAATACACTTCAAATCGAAGAACGAACAGGTGTGATGTCATTTCGAAACTAAATCAGGCCAAGATGAAGTTTCTTTGCACAGACAGCACATGTTCACACATTCATCCAACTGCTGCTCTCAGCAGCGTGGGTGGCGTTGGATGCTTGGTAGCAGTATTACCACTGGCCACGTATTTCGAACTTCGCAGCTGTGAGTAAATTGGGGCTTTGAGGTTGTCCTGTCCTACTGTTGAGGAGAAAAAAAGTGGTCTTACCGGGCAGCGTGCTGTGGAAACTGTAGGTTTGCACGCCTGCACCATCAACTCCATCCAAAAGTCCACAGTTTCCTGTTTAGGATGATTCACGTCTTTGGGTTTGGCAAATTGCTTGTATAGTATATACGTCTCCATAATGGATGCAACATACCTGATTGAAGGAGAAATCACCTTGCAGTAAATTAAACATGTCTTATTCAGGGTTGTAAATGTTAATTTAGTGTGATTACTTCAACACGATAATGGAATTATTCATGACCGTGTCTAATTCAAACTTGAAGTACTTCAATTTTTAAAAACTGACAGAAAAATAAAACTTACTACCAAATCAAACTACACATAGATAATTAATCATTTCCTTGGCTCACCACATTGGCGCTTTGATCCTGTAGAGTTTCTCTGAAGCTTCTATGACTTTCTTGTGCTCGTTGGCCAAGATTCCAGCCCCAAGATAAAAACCAACATCCCAGTAGTCCTGCATCTTCTCAAGACAGCCCTTCCTGCCCAGCAGGCTACTGAGTGTGACACCTGCACAACAAGCACAAGGAACACCACAAACCAAAACTCATTCTGGGCTATATGAAAAGCATGAGACAGGGCAGCACTTCAAAAGTGTGAAAATAAGGCAACACCTGTTTAAACACCTCAAACTGTTATTTTCTCACATTCTATATACTCATACTTTGTGTTATCCTGCATTCATGTTCAAAGCCTGAAGCATTTGGATCATAAAATTAGGCCACTAAGTATCAGTTTCTATACATCGCCCTGCTAAAGAGAAAATACCATGCAAAAGCCAACAAAGCACTACATGATATGAAGACAGAACCATGACCCATCTCACAGTTTAAAGTGCACGCAACCAGAGCAGTGAAGCTAAATAAAGGACACACAAACACACCGATTTTCCGCAGTTCAATAGAGGTGTCGAATTCATGCCCAGCAGCCATCAGGAGCACAACATTATTGATTCCAGAATGCAAAGAGGGTTCAATCTCAAAGGCCTTGCCGTACCTGCAGGACAAACAGAGGTAGAAACATAAGACATCATTACTACAATGAATATTAGAGAAATCAACATTAACACAAATACCTGAACATAACTGATTGGAGCACTGTTTAATGATTCATGATTGGATCACTGTTTTAGCCACATAAATAAATACAAATATTAATTCTATCCCATTTTTAGTAAAAAAAAATACAAAATTGTATTAGATATTATTTTTTCCCAGGGAATATACAATTTAAATTAACACAGTTTTCATCATCATAATTTTCTTTTATGCTTAAAACAAGAAAAAAAATGTTGAAGTGTATTTTTCTTGTATTATTAAAATCCACTGCTAATGGATAGAAAAATATTCCTTAAAAACAGGACATAGACAGGACGTGTGTGTGTGTGTGTATATATATATATATATATATATATATATATATATCTGCGTTTGTATGTATTTATGTATGGTAATGTAATAATGACATTTGTAATACATATAATGTAATATATTTTTTTTTTCCTCTCTGACAAAAAGTCTTATCTCATGCTATTTAGTTTCTCAATTAATGCATCTTTTCTTGTTTTAAAAGTTGTTTACATATTTTTTTAAGTAAAGCAGGACAAAAATTCTGAACAATACATTGGAATGATGTGCAGACCACTGGACTTACATTAACTTATATTTGTATTATTTAATATCAGATGTTCTCTTACCACAGCACATTTTACATATGAATGTGTGAAACAGATTTAACGGTCAACAGTGTTGTGATGCTCTGTCGATCGAGAGTATAAAGGCCAGGACTCACCAGTAACATGCTCGATCTCTGCTGTATGTGTCTTTGAAGCCTGAGCTCAGGAACATGTCCTTGTAGATGCGCCCGCACAGGCAGTACACGTCTGAGGCCACGGTGTTCCCTGACTCCACAATGGGTAAAATCAGCTTTAAAGCCTTGTCACGATCACCAGGGTGATTCCTCCTTTAAATACATTCCAAAATGTTTTGTAGGGAATAAATTGATATTTTTGTGTAATCTATTGTCAAAAAAACAAAAACAAAGCTCACCTGTTCAATGCAAAAATATACTGAAACTTAATGTTCTGATGTGATATCACCATGCACATGGGCAAATTATTCAAAGTCTCCAACAGATTTATGATGGAGTCGTAGTCCTTGAATCACATGGAGAAAGAGAGTTCAGTTTCAATAAATTATTTACACATTTGTCTGGCACTTTGGAAATATTATTGCTTGTTCCTCTGGGTAGAAAAAAAAAAGATTTTTTTTTTCGTAGAATAAAATTAAAAGCGTATGTAGCATGGCACTCTTAAAGAACAGAAAGCAATAATTTACTACGTCAAAGCCGGTGAGATCTCTTTTCTAAATCTCATTAATAATTAAACAGATTCAGGTGAGTATCACAGCAACAATCAAAACATTCCCACAAAGAATTGCTGACACAATCATGCATTCAACCGCAAATATTGAAGAAATGCACATTACTGTATAGGGAAAAAAGTATGATGCAAATACCTATGTCAGTTTGTAACTGAAAGCTTAGCGTAATACACATGTGACTATTAACTCACCGGGATGTCTCTGTAAGACAGCAGGAGGCTCATAACAACGTCTGGACTCAGAAGCTCCACCGAGTCCAGCCGCTTCTGGATCCGGCCCAGCTCCTGACTCAGGGCCGCTCCGGAAAAGTGCTCTCGAGCCAGACGGATCTCCCTGCGGATTGCCTCGTGGAGGTATTCGCTACAAGGCAAGAATGTTTTCTCAAGATCTTATTCAGACACTATAAAAGTAACATTTAGGCATCCAGGAAAAAGAAAATGCACATAATTACTTTCCTACCTTGAATTAATGTGAACACCTTCCAGCAACTTGACCAGTCGATCCACCAACGGGGTCAGCAGGGATTCAAATTTAAAGCTGGAATGAAGGAAATCTTTGATTCCTCTCATCAGTGTGGCATCACAGGCAAATACTTTACCCTGCGGTGACACCATGTAGGGGATAAAAGTGTAGCTTCCACATTGTTCCTAGAAAAAAAGAAATAAGGGAGACCAAACAAATGCATCATTATATAGGATCTGGACTAGTTGTCAAAAAGGACGATCAGTAAGGTTCTCTGAGGTTCAGAGAAAAGGTCCAATTATACAAATGCTTGTTTTAAATACCAGTGGTTTTGGGGAAATAAAAAAAACGAAATTACACTAATTATAGTGAATTCTACTATCAATATCATAATATTTTGGAATATCTGTTGGTAAATAAGTGTGCACAATACAAACAGCATACATTAAGTCAACTATTTAATGAAGATTAAACTAAAAGGTCGAACTGTTTCAGAGTCTATACAGAAACTGGCTTACAAAAATACAGAAATATTCAATGGAATAAAAAGTGTATTCAAACTGACTTTCGAAAATAACCTTCCACTTTACAAAGGAAGTGCTTTTGTGTGGGTCTCACCTTCACAACTTGAAGATGTTCCTCTTGTTTGTTACAGTACAGGATGACATTATTGGTCATACTAAAACTCTCCCTGACACCCAGGTGATAAAACAGAGACGGCTGGCAGATAGAGTTGTTCATCTCCACCACGACAACATCTAAAACACAGAGTTAAAAACAACAGCTTACACGTGCACTTTGGAAATATTCCTGAAAATCCCGGTTATGTGCGTGCCACAACTTGCCTGCGTTGTAAAAACTGTCTAGGATTTCAGTCGTTCCCAACGCAATGCGCTCAAAAGAAACGCTCTTCAGCACGGCGTGCGCGTCTTCGCAGGCTTCTGCAAGACATGTGTATGAAAGATTCTCCTCAGTTTGAGGCAAAGACCCGTCCCCAACGGCGATATACGCCACGTTTAAAGCCCTGGTTCGACTCCGCGGGGAAGTTATGCCTTTACATCCGCCGCCTATTTCGAGAGCCAAAGGATCCTGCCATAAACTTCCAGCTGAAACTCGGACGGGATCCTTTCTCTTGGTCTCGCGCAGGCTCATGCGCCTGCGTTCAGTCGTATACATGGTGAATCTCGAAAGCAGTGCCTAGCTAATAATGAAAAACATCCTGTGGTCGCGTCCTCGACATGCCTTTACTATGGCGTACAAGTATTCCTGCAGTTTTTTTCAGGTAAGACTCTGGGGAGGATCTTTAGACGCGCCCTCATTCTGCGTCCCGCCCTCCTCGTGTCAGTCCACAGCTGTGCGACCTCGCCTAAGTTCAGCCGCTGCTTGCTCAATGACGATTTGCCTGTTTGTTTAGAAACTGTGTTTTGTTTTTTAAGTCTTCTATTACAAAACACGTTTTTACTATTAGAATACATATATTATTTCTATTGATTACTTATAAAAATATATGAAGAGTTCAGATGCAAAAGCCTCTAAGTGCCATTTGAAATTTTCTTCTAAAATTATCATTTTTATCAAGCTTGTATATTTAAGTTCAGTAATTTCACTTAAATGGCAATGAAGATTACCTATTAATTGTCATTTAAGTGAAATTACTGAACTTAAATACACAAGCTTGATAAAAGGTCATTCTAGAACAAAATTTCAAATATGGCACTTAGAGGCTTTTTCTCTCTTTCTCTCTTCTGACTGCCTTATCAATCTCTCTCTCTCTTTTCTTTTTTGAAAATTGAGACTCTATTGTGGAGTTTTTCTTTTGCTATTTGAGCAAATGGGAACACAAAATTATATTTAATGTATTCACTCAATAACCGCAATAAAAGTTTACCCAACTATGACGACTTCCGCTTCTGAGAAACACAGAAATTTGGAACGTTGCAATAAATAAAAGTACAATCACTGAATTGTAATAAATATGTTAAATATTAAATGAAAATGTGAAACAATTAAGAGTAAGTTTTTTAATGTAAAATTATGACACGTGATAAGTTTTTCCCCCAAACATTTTGGTTAACATACATACACATTATGGATAACTAACATTGCCTTCTTGACCCATTTTGATACGAGTCTAATCGTCTAGTGCAGTCGCGTGCAGCCCCTCCCCTCTCCACGCGCTGCTACTGACACACACAAGACTACACGCGCACTAAAAACATGGCGGATAAACACTAACCCTCACACAAAAACCTTTCCGCGCAAGGTAAACAGTCCCCTTCCTACCGTCCGTAATAATTGCGTAGCAGTTATTACACCACTTTATAACTTTAGTTTCGGAAAATGTAAAGGGAAAACACAAAAAGTGACTCAAGAGAGTTGCTAGGTTAGCATTTAGCTAATGCTCGTTGTATATTCACTGCAGGTGTTGCCTTACAAAAACAAAGACCCAAATAAGTATATTTTACTGTTAGTTTCTTAGGATCGAGGTCAGAATAGCATGAAGAAATGTACAATATAATATGCATGAGTAACATACTGTGTGGTGTTTTGTATGCTGTGTTCTTAAAAGTCTATCGTATAGCGTTCAATGCACATAAATCATCCCTAGAGAGCTTGGTAATATTTTAAAAAGATTTTAAAAAATACAGAATAAGCTTTTGTTCGAGTTGTCGAGCTGGAGGAGTGTAACGTCCCAGTGAAACGAGGCTAGTGGTGCTTGGTTCGTGAACGAATCTTTTAAGTGAATGATTCATGATCTCCAGGGATCGACTCATATTTTTCTCCTCTCATTCCTTTCGTTGCACGAATGAATCTTTTTAATGAACTGATTCAAAAGACTCGAATCATTTTGGGATGAATCAAATCCCTGCCACTACTGCGCGCTGTCATTTATGGAGAGGGAGGGACTGTTGTTTGGCGCTCAAAGGCGCTCTGCATTTGAACAGAGAACTGGAAAACTGGGAGACAAGGAGCCATCTTTTGAGGTATCTGTACGCATACATTTAGTTTTTATTGATCTAATCTGCATTTAGACATGATGGAGCGATGTATGAACACAGACATTATCACACGCGCGCGAGCAGAATAACTTAACGTTTAACTAGAATTGATTGAAAATTGTTTTGAATGTTAAAAAACCCGATGGTTTAACGGGGTGTTATCGTTTATAGTATTATTATCGTGTTGTTGTTGTTCTTATGTTATTATTCATTTGAATATGAAGGGTTCAATCTTCAATGTCGCTTTTGTCTATTATTTCACATTGACCTTTTAGGTCATTGCTGCTGGTTGTTAAGCGTCTGACTCAACGGCCCTTTGCGTCAGTCCGGAAAGAAACATGTTGAAGAGGTCAATGAGTCTGTGTAAGACAAATTTCCTTTTAGCTAGTTGTCGTATCCATATCCATGTTATTGTCCATTTTCTGGAGCTGATTGGCAGTGTTCAGCATTTCGAGAATGAGAGACCAGTGACAGCTGACCAGGACAACAATTCAATGCCTGGGAGACAGACAGACAGACAGACAGACAGACATGCCACATTGAACCAAACACAACAGACATTAATGTAAGAAAACAGCTTTAAAATCTAAGTTTTGTGTTTATGTTTCGCAGAGAGGTTGGGAAAAGCTGGATCATGAAGAAACCTGGACCACAGAAAGGTGATCCTCTTTTTTTGTTCAGTACTTTCATAATTTTTGCAGCATTATTTTTGAATAGAAAAATTGGCATTTTAATTAAATGTTACTTTTTTTGTCAGTAACATTGATAAACAGACAAATAAAAGTTTATAAATAAATGTAAAATATCCTTTGTCAGATTGTCACTCTGACACAATATAAACTCAATATAAATGCTACTTCACAAAACCTTATGTCAGCCAGTTTGAAAATGTTACTTTAAATGAACACAAATTATAAAACAATGTTTAGTTTGCAAGACATAAAAACATGATTAATGTAAGATGTGGGGCACATAGGATGCAGGATTTTTTTGTTATTTATAAAAAACATAATTTGTAGAATTTATCAAAATAAAAATGGTTGTTTTCATTGTTCTTGACCCATGTAAACTTGTATACAGTCAGTGATCAAATAACAAATTCCAAGCAGTATCCCAAATAAATACAATATAATAAAATAATATATACGATATATATTATAAATATTAGATACAATTGAAATAAACAGTGCTTCTTTCGCGTTTTTCCAAGTAGGTAAGAAATACTGCAGAGTTTGAATAAAGTAATCAAATGTAAAAAAACACTGTATTAATTCAATATAGATTCATCCTTATTAAAGTAACACAATTTGCTAATTCGCTGATCTAATCTAACACATATGAATTCAATCAATTATTTACGTTCATTTAAGACATAACAGACTGTTTATGAAGATTCTCGCGGAGATCTTGTCATTATTTCAATAATGAATAATATAACAGTTATCAGGGGAGATATTCTGACCTATCAGGTTAAATAAAAAAATGTGGTGATTTCTGATTTTGAAGTGTTTTCCTCTCTCAGTAGCTATTGAGTGGAAAGATAGCAGACGGATCAAGCATGCTCGCAGTGGTCGTCCCTCTCGTGTGCCATCACAGTACCAAGGTAGCAAACACACTACACTTAAATACCTGCTTTGAGTCAGATATCTAAATTGGGGCACATGCAGCATTATAGTGATTCACATCTAAAAGTAGTCTGGAAGACTTAACAATCCTCTACGGACACACTGAAACTTGATTCGCCATTGGCTTATACATTTTTGAATACTCGCCAGACTTTTTACATGGAATGCAAGAACAATGCAAATTAAAACAAATTTACATTAATATAATATAAATATCAAACACTGTTAAAGACAAGTCAACAGTCTGAAATAAAATAAAAAACAGATAATCAAACTACAAGCAATAGCACAAATAAACAATAAAAAAATAAGAATAAATGAAGTTTTTCAGTTATATCTTAGATTAGTAGCTTAGGTACAGAAATTGAACAATCATAGTCATCACTGAATCTTTGGATGAATCTTTTTAAAAGTTATAAAAGTTATTCAGTCAAGAGCATTGAGTGATTTTTTTTTTCTTTGCATTGAGTCTTTTTGATTGATTAACATTAAAAATACAAACATCAGGAGGAATATTAGGCTGCTGTCACTATAAGATGGTGAGGATATTTTCACAAAGGTTAATTGACATAGGACAAGTGGGCTTTTAAATCACTAATTTAAAGGCGAAGGTAAAATGCATGCGTCCAGACTGTCGTTTGAAAGAATAGTACAACGGCGAGTGCGTCGAGTATAAATGCCTCCTTCGTAGTTATGGAATGGTATGGTACACAAAAGCCTCATGTTCACACTGCTATGCCTTAGTGCTCTGATCCAATTTTTTTAGTTTGGCTGTTAACATAATTTTTTTTCTAGTGTGAATCGCACAAACCATGGATCATGGAATCTGATCTTTTCAATTCCGATTTGGGCCACTTCCATATGTGGTCCTAAATCCGAGACAGGTCAGATGTTTTGCAATGTGAGTCGTGACCTCTTCATGAAGAGTCATATTGGAATTCATGTGACTTTTACACCATTCACAATTCATCACAGTTCTGCGTTAATGGGAGTCAGATTTTACACCATAACAATAGATGCGAAAGGTACTCAGGAAGGATGGTGATGTCTCAGAACTTAGTATTACAGTGACGGCTCTAAAAACAAAACATGAGGGTGCGTATCATAAATGTTCAAAAACTCAGCTCTTTTTTCGCATCCTCACCTTTGTTTTTTATATTGCCTGTGCATAACTTTGCTGGCTTCCACCGTTCCACGGCAGATCACACAATAAATCGTTGGTAATTGCTTACTTTAATGTCCTTTGTGTTTACTTGCGTAAGACAGCATGCTGCATTACATCTTTTTTTATCATTTTTTTATTTATTTGACAGGGATAGTGTACATTAATTAGCATTATAATTCTTTTGTGCATGCAGGTCACTCCAGGACCATGATCTACTTACATTAGAATCTGATATTGGCTACATTTAAAACAATGGTAGAAAAAAAGATCAGATCCGAGCAGTAAATTGGAATTGAGCACTAAGGCTGTGTGATTGTAGCCCCAAGAGTTGTTTGATGTTGACATGTTTACCTCTATTTTTAAGGGCATTTCAGTTGGGAGAAGTACCTGAAAGAGACAGGAGCAGTCGCTGCTCCTCCTCACTGCTTCAGACAAGTGAGTCTTTTCATCCACACATGCAACTGTGGAACACTTCATTATTATGGACCAATTTTAAATGTCATACTACCACATAAAGATAAAACGATTACCCTTATTCT